TATATGTTAAAATATGTGATATTATCTTCATTTTAATGTAAAAATAAAAAATATTTATTAGTAAAATTGAAAACTTTATATAAAGAGAAAAATTCGCATTTTACTATGTTTAATTAGTAAATTTTGATGTTGTTGCATTATTTTTGATTGTCACTGTATATTATATAATATAATTTTTATTAGTTTTTTTTAGATTTAATTTGTAAAATATTTCTACTTGCAAAGTGATTATAATAATTTATAAAAAATCCACACAATCATTTTGCAAGCAGAATATCCACACAATCATTTTGCAAGCAGAATTATTCTTCAATTTCAATTATAAAAATTTTTACAATTACTTTGCAAGCCAAACATTTTTTAGGTAAAAAAAGATTTATTGATTAAATAAAATTTCAATATAGAAAATAATTTCAATTTTTATTATATATTATTTTTTTGAATTTCTGATATTTTATATTGGTTGTGTATTTTGGATTCTAAAATCAAAATAAAATGTTAAATTTATGTTTGTTTATTATTTGATTTATTTATTATTTATATTTATTCTATTATTGATTTATTTATTATTTATGTTTGTCTATTATTTGATTTATTTATTTATTATGTTGCATATTTTGAGATTTACATATGTTAAAATTATTTCTGATATTATAATCGAAAGTAAATTGAAAATCAAAAAAAAATGTTTTTCTTTTGATATTATTGGAAGTAAATAAAATCAGGTTATTTCTGGTAATATAATTGAAAAAATAAAAATCCAATTTTATAGTTAGAATTAAAAATAAATGTGACCATCTAAATAGAAATTTTCATTGATGCCAAAAAGGTAATTATATTTTTGTATACGTATCTTGATAGTTTTTATACGAAGAAATTCAATTTAGTTTCAAAATATATGTTAACTAAATCTTGTAATTAACTCGAAATTTTTTAGAAAACTGGAATCGAAAAATATGAATAAGTAATGGACTTCTAAGTCATATTAATATCGAATCGTGTTCTTAGATTCTATTCGGTTAAAATTAGTAATAATGAAGATTTTAATTTATAAAGCATAAACTAAAGCAGTTACAATTTTCTTCCAATAGAAAGCAACGTTCTTCCTTGATATGATCTTATTTTCTTGGAAGTGTTTTGTAGTAGAACACCCGATATATCTTCATTCTTTTTAATTTCATTTAGCATACTAAATTTGAAATCATTTGGAAGAGCCTAAATATTCTATGACATATACATGTATTTAGAAATAAAAAAATACTTGTATCAGTTGAGATTGCAAGTAATTTGAAGTAGAGGTTCGATTGGTGTAAATTGTATGAGTGAATTTTTTGTTTTTTGTTCATATTTGTAAGTTTGCATTTTTGCCATTTCTCCTTATCAAGCTTATCTAATCTGTCTTTAGAATATTCATCGCTCTTTAAAACATAAATTATAAAGACGTATTATTTATTTTATGACTTGTTTGAAAGCGGATTGAGTCTAAAAAAAATTATTTTGCAAAGCAGCTGGTCTGTTTCTGGAATAGAATCCAACAATAAATCGGCACCAACTGGGAATATTATGTATTTGGTATCGTAGGTTCGTACTTCATATATATAGGAAATTTATCATGACCTCGCTCACCGAATCTGTTACGTACGTACAATCTAGTACATAACATCCCAAAACTCAGTTTGAGTGTATGGATTCCACTAAGCACTTCTGGACTGGTATTACATTAACTTTATAGCATGTATACAGTGATTCTCTTTATAGGTATCAAAAATTAATTAGCGTTAGCGTTAGTAAAAAAATTTTAAAAATCTACTGTAATGTTAATTAATGTTAAAAGTTGATTCTAAAGTTAGGATCAAGGTTGGGATACCGATACGTGATATGATTATATGTAAAATTGCCTCACCGACATTTCTGATTAGAACGTACTCCAAGTTATATTTAGACATCTGTTTCCGTATTTTTCACATTGTGTCGAATTTGTTTTGCTGGGGTGATCAAAAATTTATCGTTATCGTATTGGTCCGCCGAGCACAGATTCAAAAGGTGGTGCTACATGTACATGTGTAACGATGAATGTGAAGAACAATGGTCGTAAATGTACATGTACATGTACTTTGTTCGAGCGAAATGGCATCATTAATTGAGCGTGCGATTATAAATCAACAAATAAAGCGTTACGACTTTGAAACGTTTACAAATAGAGAAATAGTTGGCAGAGGAGCATTTGGCAAAGTATCAAAGGCAAATGTGATAAATAGTACCTTGACGGTTGCGCTAAAAAGGTTCTCGATGACAGACGAAAAATCAAAAAAAGAAATACGTAAATAAGATATTCATTAAAGAGGTAACTGCATTTGAAATAAATAAAATAAATATTCCAATTAATATGATGATAAAATATCTTTCATTAGTTACAATTTCTTATGAAACTCAAACATCGTGAAAATATTATTCAGGTATATGGAATTACAGAAGGTAAAAATCAAAGTAAAGGAATTGTATTTAACTTTGAGCGAGAACTTATAAAGTTTATGAAATAGATCCAACTTTGGAGTATGCTAACGGTGGCACGCTCAGAGAGTTCTTAGGAAACAATCGAAAACTTACCGGGGACAAAAAATTAATATTATCATTACAACTAGCTGAAGGATTGGAATTTATACATGATTCCGGAATAATTCATAGAGATCTGGTAATGAACTTTTTGACTTCTATTTTTCTTAGATAAAGTAATTCTAATATTACATACAAATTTCACCAAATACTAGAACCATAACAATGTACTAGTGCACCAGGAGAAAATCAAAATTTCGGATCTAGGATATTCAAAACTTTCAAATGATGATTTTAATTCGAGATCCTATTTAGGCGTTGCCAGTTATGTTGATCCAGCCTTTTTACTTGATCACAATTATCGCCGAGATGAAAAATCGGATATCTTCAGCCTTGGCATTCTTTTTTGGGTCATATCTAGCGGACGCATTCCATCCAACCGAGTCGGATATGCACATTCTAATCCAATCGATGAAAAAGAAATTACAATTTTCGGGACGCCTAGCAAATACATTAAGCTATATAAAGAATGCTGGGATAATATATCAGATAATCGACCTAATATTCATGAAGTGATTCAGAAACTCCAAGAAGTCGAGTGGATATCATTGGAACAAGATGACAACTCAGCAGAAGATAGTTCATCAGAAGATAATTCACCAGAATCATCTTTCAAAGTAGTTCGATTAAGTATGAAGAAAATGTAGTAGACATGTTATTGCAGCTACAACTGAGTCCTGAAATTTCAACTACTGGAAAAACCTTAGAATTAATAATCAATGAATTAATATATATTTTATATAATATGCTCAATTCTGCAGAAACTCTAGATAAAACAGCCCAGCAATTGCGTACACACATTGATAAACATAACTGTGATAATGTACAATTAAACTTTAACTTGTACAATCATCCAGACACAAATAACTTGAGGACCTTATTGGGATTTTTTTATCAGTATGGAATAAGTGTAGATAAAAACAGTAAATTAGCATTTCAAAACTATCAAAAATCAGCAATTCAAAACGATGCATTATCACAACATTTACTTGCAAATTGCTTCCTATATGGAATCGGAACACAAAAAGATGGAAAAAAAGCATTCAAGTGGTATTTGAAATCAGCAGAAGGTGGAAATGCTAGTGGACAATTTGATCTTGGTTTTTGTTACCATAATGGAATCGGAACACAAAAAGATGACAAAAAGGCATTTGAATGGTATTTTAAATCAGCCGAAAGTGGAAATATTGAAGGACAATATAATCTTGGTTATTGTTATCAAAATGGTATAGGAACTCAAAAAGACGAGAAAAAAAGCATTCGAATGGTATTCAAAATTAAATGGGCATCCTTTGGGACAATCTAACCTTGGTGTATATTATCAAAAACCGAAGACTACGTCGCTAAGATTCGTACCCAGTCTGGAAGCTGCTGCATTAGTCGTCAAATCAATTTATGAGCAAGAAATTTATGAGGCACTAGTTGAACACATTCGAGTAATCCAAACAACTCTAGAAAACTATAAACCACAAGAAGATGAATTTAAAGAAGCATACCAGAAGTATATTGATACCCTGAAAAAAATAGAAAAGCATATCAAACAACTAAGAAAACCTGGGAAGTTTAGTCAACGATATAGAATGGAAATATTGAAATTTATAAATCCTAATAAGGTAAATATTGTTTCTAGCGGTTTAATTAATGAATTCTTAGAGATAATAACTTTATATATTATTATTATAGGATGAACAACTGTTTAAACAATTTACGGATGCATTAACACAAGCAATCAACGCATTCCATTTAGAAGTGGGTGTACAAATGTTCAACGAAATATCGAAACAGTCAGAAGTACTAGCAGAACTTACAAATATCGTTAAAGGAGTTAATCCTCGTCCATCAGCTGTAATAAAAACAAGTATTGATCACATTTTAATCACCGATTATCCGTTAGAGAAAAAGGATGTCGTAAGCAGGAGAAAAGCGTTAGTAAAGAAAATATTTCGTGGTCAACCAGTTGCTGTGAGAAGATTGGTATCTGATTATTCTGAGCTTGATGAAATCATGAGAGACAAACTAGAAAATGAACTGGTCATTCGAAATTTGTTATCTGATTGTAAGAACATCGAAAAATTTTTATTTATGATTTTTAGTAATACATGTAGTAAGAATAATGATATCGATATATATTTTTTTAATTTATTTTGTGTGTTATCGTTATCGTTATCGATGTATTTAGTTTATATATGGTCACCGAATGGGCTGAAAATAGTGATCTTTAAAGTCACCAAACATTTCATGGGACAATAAATGGAGAATCGCATCGGAAATCGCAAACGCAATAAAGTAATAGTTTTTTTTTTATTATCACTTATTAATGATCATATTACTTTTATTTTCTTTAATTATCATTTTTATTCATCTTGAATCAATAGTTTTTTCCACGGTGCAAACGTACTCCATCATAATATCGGAACGTAAGAAGTCAATTAATTGATTCTAGTCTCAATATTTTCAATGTTAATAATTTTGATAACTATATTTCCTATCGTTATTTAGTAAAAACGTATTATTGGATGAACACCTGACTGCAAAACGCTCAAATTTTGATACGAGTAGATTTACACACCAAACTACAACTACTATTCCTGGATTGAGAGATGGCCTTGAGTAAGTTTGTCTTTGTTAAATTATGATAGCAATATGTATTTGTTATTCATCTATGTATCAATATAAATTAAGGTGGAAAGCTCCAGAAAAAATTCGATCCGAGATCGAAAAGAGAAAACATGTTTTTTGAAAATATCTGGTATCAATGAGCTAAATTCATTTACAATTAAATATCAATTTTGTATTCATACTTTTAGTTTCGGAATGACTCTTTGGGAAATAGCTGCAAACGGTAAAAGTCCATTTTCCGAAATCGAATATTTGGAACTAGAATATGCAATAATTTCAGGGACACGTCCATTAATTCCAGACGATACTCCACCAGCATTCGAGAAACTCATAAGAGAAGTTTGGGAAGAGAAATGGAATAAAAGACCGAAGATTGATGTAATTGCCGAAAACTTGTATATAAATTATCAATCACTTGTAGAAGGAAATTCACAAATAAAGAATTGATTGTCTTACTGTTCCATCTTCGACTCCACATTTTCAAAGACCTCTTATACTTGTACCGTCAAATGATTCTCATTCTGGAAGTACAAATAATTCACAATCTGCATCTTCAGAATTAACAATACTCCAAGCTTTGAAGAAGTATTAAAAATGCATAATAAGGGAAAGTATGCAGAGGCATTACCTTATTTCGAAAAATATGCCGAAAAAGGAGATCCTCGTGGCGTATATTTTGCCGGGGAATATTTATGCGAAGTCAATAATCTCATCGACGAAGAACGCGGTCTTGCATTCATACAACAAGTAGCTGATGCAAAACGACAATCAGGAAAAAATGAAATAAATGAATACATTCTAAAAGCACAATCTTATTATGCAAGAAAATTGCTTGAACTACAAACATATCAGCCGAAAAAAGCGATTTTCTATTGAAAGTGGCAAGCAGTAATCGACGATACGATGCTGATTGTAGATTGGCTGAGATTTATATGGAAGGGGAACATGATGAAATAATTAATTTACAAAAGAGTGAAGAGCATTTGAAGAAGGTTTTTGCATCAAAAAGGTTGCCGAAAGATGGGCCAATTTATCAACAAGCGGTGAAACTTTACGAAAAATTAAAAGAATATAAAAACGAAGCTAACGCTACGATGAGAAAGATTTAATTGTCAATTACATTTTTCTATAATGAAATTCAAGATTGTGTTTCATCTGTGAAACAACCTGAAACCACCATTTTCTGAACCAAACCGTTCCCATCTCTAGTTGACTGTAACATCAACCCTAACAACAAAATCCAGTCCAAACCATGGTTCTTATTATTAGAAGTTAAAAGTTCCAAACATTACATTAGTTTCCTATTTAATTATTATTGATTAGTATTGGGTAATGTAATTCGGAATAAATATATTTAATATCAATAAGGTAAAATCTAATAGTAATAATATCGATATATTATCAGTTTTCACTAATTTTTTCATTGCTTGCTTGGTTCTTGCAAAAAATGAATATAATAATTCAATCCTTTCAAAATAATACATGTACTTGCGTCATATTTCAATTGTTTTACATACAAATAAAAATATGACATGAGAATTTAAAATTATAAACCTATGAATTAAAAACACATATTAAGACTATCAATTAATTTCTAAACTATTATTTATATTAATTACTTTTAATATATTTTCTAAAATACAAAACCATTCTAAATAATAATAAAGAATATCTGTTATCACTTTTAAAGAAAAAACTCGAATATCAGCAATTTTATTCTTATCAATTAAATAAACAAATATTTAATATTGATATTTATTTAAATTTTATTAACTATTTAATAAAACAAAAAAATAATTAGAGAAAAGTTCTCTAAAAAAACAAAAACTTTATTGGCATTCAAATATAAAAAATGTAAAATCAGATTGATAATGATTCTTATACTGCTATTGCTTTAAAAAATTCAATAAAATGAGAATAAAAATGAAGATGAGAATAAAATTAGAAAATAAAGAAATTGGTAAATTTATACAATTAAGATTTAATTGATGAAAATGAATTTAATTTATATTTTTATAAAATTTTTTATTTAATTTAATAAATTATATATATATATATATATATATATATATATATATTATAATTATATTAGATTAATTAATTATATTACAAATTAATTCAAAATTATATATCTATTATACATTGATCAATTATAATTATTATTTCTAATTGCATATATGAATAAATAAATATATTTGTTGCACCCCATTACATTTCATTTTGTCACAGGTCATATGATTTTAGAATTATTACAATTTGATTAGCTAAACATATTTAATACTTATAATATGATATTAATATAATTAATTCTATTTAATTCTATAATTATTTATACGGTCATTAGTACATGTACTATCTTGTCTCACAAAACCAGATGGTTAAATAATTTGTTAAAAAACAACACATAATTCTTATAATTCATTTTCTCCTGAAATCTTGTGTCAAAGATTTCAAAAATCAGTATTTAAGTTAGGAAAAAGAACAACTTGAGTCAATAAAAAAACTCATTAATCACTATTTTTATAATCAAGATTATATTGTCCAATATTATTTTTATCCTTTGCAACTTTTTTGTCATCTTTTTGTATATTAATGTCATTTTGATAACACAAACTAAGATTATATTGTCTAATATTATTTTCACCCTCTGTAGATTTCAAATACTATTCAAAAATTTTTTCATCCTCTTTTTGCATGCCAATGCCATTTTAACAATAATTAAAAGTACTTTGTTTCAAGTTATTTCCACTCTCAGCAAACTTTAAATATCATTCAAAAGCTTTTTGGTTATTTTCTTGCTATTTCAAGCTCTAAATAAATATAATGATATATTTGTTACTGAACTTTATGAATTTGAAAAAATTAATCAAGTTCAATACATAATTAATACTGGAAATGAACAATCAATTAAACAAAAAGCCTATTGAACAATATTATCAGAACAACAATTTATTTTTGAAGAAATTCAAAAAATGATAAATACTAAAATCACTCGATTCTTAACTAGTTCCTAAATCTTATCTATTATTATAGCATTTAGGAAGAATAGAAAGTAATAACTCTATGTTAACTATTAAAAAATTAATTATATCACAAAAAAAATGCTTATCTTTTACTATAAATTAATAAAATAATGAATATACTTGGAGAAGCAAGATAATTTTTATCTATAAATTTAATCAATAAATTTTGACAAGTTAGAATATATTATAATAGTATACAAAAGACTGTATCCATTTTATATAAAAAACTCTTTAAATTCAATATTATGCTTTTCAGTGTGTACAATAGATCTGCTATATTTTAATGAGCTATGAATAGTATACTTGACAATTATAATTGGAAGTTTATTATAATTTATATTGATAATATTAATATTCTCCTAAATATTTAAAGAATATCTATAATACTTATAACTTATCTTTTAATAAATCAGAAAAGCTGGATTAAAACTTAACAAAGCAAAATATAACTTTTTCAGAAAAAAGAATTGCTCTTTCTAGAATATGTAATAAACAAAAATGATATTTTATCTGATTTATTAATAGTTCAAAAAATTGTTGAATTCCCTCAATCATGAATAGTAAAAGAACTTAGATTATTTCTTGAACTTGTCAGATACTATTGAAAATTTATAAAGAATTTTTTTAAATCACTACTTTATTATTCAAATTACTCTGTAATAATATTACCTTTATCTGGACTATTAATCAAGAAACAGCATTCAACAAATTCAAAGAAGCGCTTACCACTTCTCTGATTTTAATTTATCCTGATTTCATGAAGAAATTCTATCTTTACACTGACATCTCTGACTCTAAACTGGAAATCATACTTTCACAGAAAATTAAAAATAAGTAATCACATAATCACATACTCAAATATATTTCTTAAATCAGCTAAAATTTAATATAGCATAATTGAAAAAGAGATCTTAGCAATAATTTGAACTGTTTGATAATTCAAATATTACTTACTTAAAATAACCTTTAAAATAATAATTGATTATAATGTATTATGATAGTTCTTTACAAAACAGGCAAATTCAATATTAAGAATTTTCTGATAGATTACAATAATAATGAAATATAATTTTATAATTAGATATCGACCTGAATGAGTAAATCAAAATACTGATATTTTATTCTGAATAAACTTTGTTAATTATTAAAAACATCTAATTAATCAATTATAAAAATAAATTTAACAACTTACTACAATCTACTTCAATTTTTGGATAACAGAACTCACAATATAACTCTTACTGAACAACAAAAAATAAGTTCAATAGCAATCTAAATATTTTATCATACAAAATAATCTACTTTATAAAATTAACTAATAAAAAGATGCTATTAATTCACTTTGAGTACTAAAAGCATCAAAAATAGAAGCAGTAATGAAAAGAATATACAAAAATCTATTATCTAAATACTTTAAATATAATAGAATTTAGCTATATGATATTGATAGAATAAAATAAGAACTAATAAAAGATCTTGTAAAATCTTGCTTAACATATCAATTTACTAAAAGTTAACAATTCAAAGAGCTTTTATATCTCATCAAAGTTAAATAACTATTTGATTATATTATAATTAATTTAATTGGACTATATAAATAAACTCAACAAGAAAATTGATATATAGTTACAGCAATAAATTATTTAATAAAATGATTCAAAGCAAAAGTAATATTTAATAAAAAAGTAATTACAATTGCAAAATTTAGTTTTGAAGAAATTATCTGTTAATATAGATATTCAAAAATATTATAATTAGATCAAGAAATGAAATTTATAGTACAAATAATAAAAGAATTCACTAATAAATTTAGAATATAATATAAATATTCATTATTGTATTATTTACAAACAAATAAAATTATAGAATAATTTAATAGAACATTATTAATAATGTTACAAAAAACTCATTATTAGTTTAGAAGAAGAATGTGATAATTATATTCCTACAGAATTATTTGCTTATAAAACTTTACAAGATTCAAACTATTTTTTTTAACATATAAAAGAAAAACAAGACTATTAATAAAATTATAATTTAAAACAACACTTAAAAAAGAAGTTAAAATTGAAGAATAACTATTAGATAAAATATTTATACTTATTAATTATTTATCTAAATGAATTAAGAATACTAAATAAAATATAAATTTCTTGCAAGAAAAATTTAAAGAAAAATATAATAAAAAAATACAAAAAATAGAACAGTTTGAAATTGAAGATAAAATTCTAATTTATAATATAAAATGACATATTGAATATAAAAATAAATTCAAGTTACAATAAAAACAAAATGGCACTGTATTTATAAGATCTATTAAAATGGAATATACAAATCTCAAAATTAATAAGAACATTACTCAAGAAAATATTTAATGGTGTACAATTAAAATTATATTACAAAAGATAAACTTTATTTAAATAA